CTTCGGTTGTAAGGAAAGGACTGTTTAATATTTTTAAAAGGTTGGCATGGGTAGATTTTAGAAGAATACGTTTTATAAATATTGTGAAATCACTATAAAATACTATTTAAGTCAGTTTTCAAGTAAAATAGTGTTAGACAAAGAGATAATACTGTAAGTATCAAGTCTTACACGAGTGTCGCAATCTTGTAGTTAAACTGTAACAATCAAAGGTCACAAGCTAACATGGAGTTTGCATAGATATAGCGGTGGCAGATGTTCCACCAAAGATGTTTGTCAATTGTTCAAACAATAGGTAATTCATTTCAGACACAAGTAGACAAAGACAGGCCTCTCATCTTTAGCACAGGAAACATTTTAAAATGAAATTACAATTTTAACCAGCAGATTTTATAATCTTCTGCTAGCTAAGTAGCCTTAGCTGTTTCATCATTTGGTTAAAGTCAGCTGTCTTTAGCTCATTTTATTTTCAAAGAGGATTTTGAATAAGGTATAGCTTCACTGTCAAATTCCCTTCTTATGTTATATCTTGGTCCCAATTCATCACAAAGATAATTCTAAGGGAGCCATTCAACCTGTGTTGTATCTGTTAATATATTTTTTAAGTATTGGCAAATATATCAGAATGTCTGAACTCTCAATATATCAATAGCAGTATCCGCATAACAACATCCAGTATTGGTTGCACCTCATGTTAGAGTAGATACACATTCTTTATTCAACTTATTTGCTCTTGTATTTCTTTTGGTTCAGTATCACTTTTACTACATCCACATACACACCGCTTGCTGTGAAGAAATCCAAAGCACAGTTGCTATGATATTTAACTATATTTGACAGTCACTGTTTTAATCGAGGGGTTGACGCAATGATACATTTATAATGGAATTATAATTCATTCTATTAAGTATTAAGATCTAATTTCAGCAGTAACTACCTAACAATGATTTATGAGGGAGGTATTGCTTTTGATACAGTATCGTTCTCTGTCTTTTCTCTGTGTGTCCCACACAGATATTTTACTCTGTGGGAACACAGCCTGTTCAAAGTGACAGATGCTGCCGCCTGCTCTGCCTCTGGCTGTTGATACCGTATCTTCAGGGCCAAAGAAAGTGCCAGCCACTGCTTCGAATACTAAGAAAACTCAGATGATTGAACGCCACCCTCTGTTGTTCTGCTCATACATTTTATGCACAGTGAAGTTTTCAGCTTTTCCAGGCTTCAGGTTGTTGAGTGCAAAAGTAGGAGGAATAAAATATTCAGTGAAATATAAAAACATAGCACCTCTTATTGAGTAACATGCGGAGTTGTATTCTCTGTTTATGTGTTTCTTCAAATGCCAGTAAGTATCATGTTATAGACAGAAGAGTCATTCGTGAAAATGTCGAGATTATATGGAAATATATATATATATTCAGACACAAATCCAATCTGCTTTTTACCTCTTTCAGGATCCTTTTTGTGTGTAGCTGTTTCTGAAATAGCTACTGTGATCTTCTTCCTTTTTTAAAGATTACACTAGAGTTTGATTTCTGGATTCGTTAGATATCTGGAAGTCATTGGAGCTTTTTCTCAGAGGCTTTCTAAATGTCTTGGACATGTTCTGTTGAGATTGTGTTGCTTTGTATTCTGAAAGACTTTTCTGCCATCAGGAGAGACACGCATCATCAGATTAAAGTGAATCATTATGCAAACTGTGATTACGGTCTACAATTGCATGTATTGAATAGTTAGTGCTCCAGGAAATTGTCCCGGAGATTGTGTCCCACTGTTTAGTAGAATCACGCTTTCCATAGAGCTGAGAAAATGAGAAGAAATTGATATATTTGTTTTACTCATTAACAATAAGAAATGTATGTATTTAAATGCAGCTCAAACAATTACGGATTGTTTTACCTGTCAGACTAAATATTAATGTATACCAATATATTGTAAATATTCTACTATAGGTCAAAACAAAATGTTTCAGCCCATAATCTCATACTATTACACAAATAAAATGTAACAGATTTTTTCAAAAATAAACTATGCTCTGAAAATATATTTATTGTTTCTGTATAGCTTTCACTTTGATAGCAGCATCAAGTTTTCTCTTAACATAACTTAATTTGTATAGTCCTTTTAAAAAGAACTCATAAAGAGATTGAACATAACTCGAGAGGTAGACTGAGTTTGATTGAAATGTTTACTTTATCACCTGATACTTTTGTCTCTCAGGAGTATTTGCATAAGAGGGGAGAGCTGGAGAGGAAAGCAAAAAGTGTATAGAGTGCTCTGTTTTTACACCCTTAAGTGCTGTGTGCTCATACGTAATGGCCCTTTCTGTTGCCATGACAAAAGAAAGGAGTGAGGGAAACATTTCACAGATTTAAATCCTAACTAAAAATACATTTAGTTTTTTAGGGCTATCATTTAGCCAGCTTGTTTATCTCTCTGCTGAAGAATAAAACATGTACACAAAATAGCATTGCACAGGCTATTGTAACTTTCTAAAGATAACTAAGTGTCTTGTCAAGTGGGTAGAGTATGTCCTTACTTATGTCGCTGCAGGTGAGCAGCAGAGCCAACAGTTGGAGAGCTTTCACTGATGCTCTCTGCAGGACTTTTATATGCTTCTCTTCGTATCTTTCCATATGTCACTCCTACACTGACAGTCCGTCCTAAAGGTCCCATTCACTTCTCATCACTGCCTGTGTGTATGATATCACCACTCTGGTTCACAGCTGCATTTATTATCACTTTCTTTAAACGTTTTTCCCAGATCCTTTTCATGTCTTTATTCTGGACACTCGTCTCAGTTCACCGACGCCATTGTCCTTCTTTTCTTCCTTTCCTCTACCCTTCTTGGCCCCTGTACGGCTCCATCCCTGCAGTACGTCTCTTCCTCACAAATGAGGCCACTGCCTGGCCAAAAGCAGCGGTGCATCAAAGGCACACATTCTGAGGGCCCGGACACCAAATCCCTCTCCACCCATACTCTATTCTTCACCTTTCTCCTCAAAATGTCCCCTTTGTCCTGAGCAGAAAGAATGTCAATTTCAGATCCATCACTGACTTCTCCCTTTGCTAACCTGGTCTAAATATTTTCTTTCTCTCTGAAAGAGAATTATTCTGTGGATGAGAGGTAGATTATTACCTATACATAGATCAGATTCTAATGACACTTTATTTACGATGTTTATTTAAAATGTGTGAGCTTTTTATTCCTGTTGAACTGTTCCTACAATACAATCACTAGAGGAATATATTTGTTCTCTTCAACCAAAAATGATGTGGATATTTAATGTGGAGCACGTGCATATTGTATATTGTATCTTTATCTGTGGTTTCGTTTGTCACACTGAGATATATTGTTTTACGTTGTTGCAGCTACAGTTTTTCTTGAAAACTGATTGAGTACATTGAAACATACAAAAGCTACAAGGGCTTCTACTAAATAGACCAAAAAGGACAGCAAGAAAAAGGACAGAAGGTTTACATTTCCTACAAAATAGCTACTTCTCTTTTTCTTTATAGACAGAAATGCCCTCTCATTCCTGTAATATATTTTAAATATGCTCATATAAAATCAATTCAATCAGTGAGCCTGAAAGAGAGGAATGATTGAGATGAAGGGAGTGGATTAGGCGGCTGTGAGAATGCCGTGTGATATTGTACATTTACATTAAATCAATGAACATCTATGGTTTATGTGCATAATATTTCCCACTACTTTATTAACTTTAATATAATTAGAATGGTTATCACTGTATAAATAAACTGACTAAGGTTACACTTCATGGTGATATAACTTTAACGTCATGTTTGAATTGATTCTTTGTGAAGCTCTTTTTTATTTCTTTTTTGTATTCTTACTATAGTCTAATGTTGATTTCATTTTTAATTTAAGGACAATAATATTTGCTTATTATTGTATCTTTTGAACATTTTGACTTGTGTAATGCTTCACACGGCAGCTGGAACCAAATCATTTCCTGATTTTGGGATAAATAAAGTATACATTATATCTATCTATCTATCTAGTACAAGTTCATTTGACAAAAGAGCAAAGCTAAAATAGAGATATAAAATATTTGTATTTGTATATTTAATGCCTGTATCTAGCTTTATATAGAGTATTGTAAATATATAATTGTGTATGGATTTATAACTTGTAATAATTTGAAGCTCTTAAAATCCTTTTCTATAGTTCTCAGGTTGAATTTTAAAGTAGCGCTGTACATTAAGGAAACAAAAGGTTTCTGAAGAAGAACACACGCCATCCATTTTGAATTTAGTCATAGTTTAATCCATTTAATAACTTGATTAATTTTTCCATTCGTAATTTTTTTTCTTGGTGTATTTAACTATGAATCTTTACCAGCTTATAGAGAAAGATGCATTTAGGAGCATCACTAAACGTATCCATTTAGCTTGAGCATCCAACGTGTTCCCTCACACACATCCTGCATGCTGAGTCGGATAATAAGTGATGGAAAATGTAGAGCTTTTGACCGTTACTGGAAGCCAAACCAAAGAAAATTATGTTCTCTGTGTCGGTGGTATTACAGTATGTGTGTGGGATTGAGGTGCTTTGACAGTTCCTAATTGCTACAGGCACACTTGTTCAGCTCGCTGTCGATGTTACAGCTTTATGTAACATTCTTGACAGTTGAGCTCCAGAGAAAAAAGGGAAAGAAAGCTACACAACTGCAGAAGCATAATGGATCACACCCAAAAACGGCCCATTGAAGTGAGCAAAAGCTTTCATCTCACAATTACCAACGGTTTGTTGAGTCAATACCATCGCTCAGAATTTCTCATTTCTGTATTTATTTGGCCACCAACACTTTGTACCAGCATGTCACAGTTTTTCTCTCGCTTTAGTGTGATGAAGCGGTGAAATGTTGACGCTGAGCTCCCCGAGAAATATAATTCTTGAGGATGAGTCTCTGTCATTCTAGGGGTGTCTTAAGCCAATCCTTTCCCCTAAACATATGTCCTTTTATTCTCTCTTGCAGCTCTATTTACAGAGGTGCCACATGACATCACCACGCAGAGCGGGGAGGATGTAGAGATGGCTTGTTCCTTCCGTGGGACGGGCTCTCCCTCCTACTCCCTGGAGATCCAGTGGTGGTACATCAAGGACCGGAGAGACTGGAAACAGAAGCCTGCGAAGATCACAAATGATGTAAGCTGCGAGGGGAAACAGATACATACATATTTAAGTCAAGGTTTAAAAAACTGTGATCTTTAATACTCTTAAAAAACAGCAATTACCCTAGTTTTTAACGCATTAAAACAATGTGTTTCAATTAATAATGCATTAAAACGATTGGCAACCATACAGAATAGTAAGATAAAATAAATGAAAAAAATGTATGAAAATTGTTAGCTAAATTTAATAAATAAACATATAACATATTTTAGCTTCTGTCATTTGGATTACAGTACACTGTTGAATATACATCACAAAGATGGCAAGAATTCTAGTAAAACAAAAATAACATCTTTAATTTTGTCTACACATTATTATGACATATTAAATGTACATTTTATGTATTATGCTGTTGTACTTTACTCATCCCATTATTTGGTTATCCAAATGGGAACCTTTTAGTGTAAAAATGTAGTTTTGGTTTTCCAATTTCATAGTTCACTTTTTCGGACCTAAACTTAGACAGACGCACACTAAGCTTACTGTATATCAGGCAGAGAGAAATGCAATAATAGCCATAGCGGTGGAAGAAACCCTCTTGCACGAAAACGAAGGTATAATTACTGATTAGCATTTGCCAGCACCAGGGGGACAGGTTGACTCTCGCACCATGGGGAAACTCAGGCTTCCCTGTTGTGCCTCAAGACACTATAATTGGCACAGAGAAATAAATATATTTTCCAAATCTCAGTCTGCTGCATGCATTATTCATACCTATGCCCAGAAGAATACCTCTGTGCCTCTGCATACACATTCACACACACTCTCCTGCTCAGAGGCTTACGTGCTCAGTGTTGTCTGTTCACACACACACACAAACACACACACACACACACACACACACACAACACACACACACACACACACACACACACACACACACACACACACACACACACACACACACACACACACACACACACACACACACACACACACACACACACACACACACACAAGCACTTATAAGCATGCGTACCCACACACACAAATACATACATCTCAACTAGCAGGAAAATAATGGTAACTACAAGGAAGCTTTAAGGAAAGGCTGTTGAAAACATCAAAACATGTTTTCCTCTGCGATGTTTTGCTGTTGTAAGTCGATGAAATTAGTCATTTTTAGCATGAAAGGTTTTTAGAGATGTGCGGCCCTCTGTTGCTAACGCTTCGTCCATACTTCTGTGCAGGTTGTACCGCTGGAAGAAACTTCCAAAGATGCCACCAAAATAAGTGTAAGTCTGCATAAACTGTCAACACGCATACAGCACAAATATTATTACTGTTCAAATAATGAATAAAAACAACAATATCTTGTAAGATATCTTTATATTATAAATGTATAGGTGACTCTGTAAAGCTTAAATTAATACTTCATCCCCAAAATGATATATCAGCTCGCCCCAAAAAGCTTGTCACCCCGCATTGTGAACATAGAATCAAAAACATGTTTGTTCAATAATACATCAAAAAGTCTATTGTGAACTCTCACACAACTTGTGCAGTATAATGATTCTTATTTGTGTTATTTTACATCCAAAACCCTGCATTTTTGCTCCAACCGTACTTTCATCAACAGTTTCACACTCAGTCTACTTATTTATGCAAGCACTGTTTTAGTAGTGTTATAAAAAGTAAGGTTTTAGTTAAAATCCATGTGTTTTGTCACTACTGAATGACTGGATAAATTACATTTGGATTACACTGCACAAGTTTTGTGGGTGTTTTGATATGCTAGTCCACATTACATTCAGTTCATCAAGACTTTTCTCAGATTCTGGATTCTGTGGATTCTTCAAGAAATCAAGGTAACACTGTGAAAGTAATTAGTAAACGTAATTTTGGGGGTGAAGTATTATTGTTACCATAATTAAAGTGTTTAGAATAACATGATATACTGTGTGTTTACCATATGGCTTCAAATAAGAATACATCATATTGTGTCCCCATTAGGTGGTAAAAGTGGCCGGCAGCAACATCTCCCACAAGCTCCGTCTCTCCAGTGTCAAGCCGTCAGACGAAGGCACGTACGAGTGTCGAGTCATCGACTTCAGCGGCCCTGTGGCGCAGCAACACCGTGTTCGCGCCTTCCTCCGTGTGGAGCCTGGGAGCAGTCGGGGGTCTGAAAAGGTCAAGAGGCAGGAGAAAGGGCAGAGGTCACAGGGGAACCAGCCACACCCCCACCACCAGACAGAGGGCAGGGAACTGAAGAGGAGATCAGCTGACAGCCCCACTGACTGCAGTGAGAGCTGTGGGCTGTAGAGGGTCTGCATGTTCATGACTTATCTCTACAGAGGGACTGTCACCAAAACACCCGTCATCACAGACTGGTTTGTGTTATAGTGAAAGTAAGGCTGTAATTACAGAACATTTGTTTTTGTTATTTTGTATTTTTTTTCGACTCACTCAACTGTAGTTTTCCTCACAACCCAAAACTGCAGTGGAGAGTCAGAATTATCATCAATGTCATAAAAATGAAAAGGGGATACAGACACAAAACAGATCATTTCCCCATTCTGCTGTCTTTTACCAAAACATATGCCAAAGGTTGCAGTATTTTAATGTTAATGCTTTTGAAGAAATAAATAATATATCAAGCTTTCTTTCATTTATCTGAGAACATTTCAAAGTGCTTTGTTTTATTCATGTAATCTTTGTTAAAGCAGTATCTGTATTAAGCTTTCTAAACCTATATATGTAACTATAATGTTTGTCAAAATAAAAATGTATGCCTTCATCACATCAAATAATGTATTCATTCTTATGTATATTCAAATCTTAGCACTGTAGACTTTTAATGTATTCGTAAAATAAAGTTTATCCAACTGTGAGTAAACGAGTTAGAGCTGTCTTTTTAAGGCTTTTAGTTTGGATATTTGATATTTAATAAACATTCACTCAAGTCGACTTACTGAGTTTCACAAACTGAGCGCTGAAACTCAGTAATACTCAATAAAACTTACTTTACCAGGATCCTTCTTGCTGATATTCAGTCTCTTACTTTGTTACTATTTTACTGCACTGCACATCATAGATGTTTCTAAGAGAGTGGGTAAGCCTTGTTCTCTGTAGAGGAAATATGTGTTTCGGCGGCACAAACTAACCAGTCGGTTGACCCTTATGTGTCCTGAATTTTAACGGCAGTACCTGCCAAAGATCAAAGAGGTAATTACTTGTATTCACTGGAGAAGGTTAAAACGATGGTTATTTGGTGTTTTATATTGTACTTTTTACTTCACTACACATCCTGTTAAAATAGTATTTTTCTTTTGGTACCCAGCAGCATGCCGCACAAAAAGAAGCTCTCTGGCCTTTTTTTAACCATTGCAATTACTGTTTGTGACCAGGAGAGAGCAGCACTTTCTCTAACATTAGGAAAATGAATAACACATGCATACTTGCATGCCCACACACATGCCCATATGAATGGTAGAAGTAAATGTCTTGTAAAAGTTGGTGTGTTGTTATAGTCTAAAGGAAGAGCAGTGGAAATTGTTATATTACTGCAGCTTACCATGCAGAAGACAGATCACCTAAAGCATCCACGGGTCTACATTTTATAGACAGACATTTATTTTGAATTACTATAGGATGTCAGTACTCTACCCATATGGTGAAAGGTGAAGCTGAAAAAACGATAAACACATTGCTTTGATGCAAGGGTGCAACAACTCTTTTAATTGTAGCAATGAAAAGGTATAAAAAGAAAACATAGTACTAAAGTGACTGATTAATTCAGATCACAGTATATATTCTGTCAACATTTTAGCATGCACAGATTTAATAAGCCTTAATCAGCATAAAGTGTTGTCACTAAAATATCTGGCTCAGAAAAATATACATTAAGCATTTTGGACTAAACAGTGAGATTATAAAGTATTTGAGTAGAAAAGCTTTTGTTTTCAAACTGTGCAAAAAAGGGTTAATTTGCATATCTTTAGATGGCTAAAGGCTTGCAGTAACTGTTGACAAAAGAGTGCCGGCCCGGCCATCTCATGGACTGTAAAGGCTTTATTTTTTCCCGATAATGACATTCTTGTAGCCCTTGACATGACACAGTTTGTTGCTGTCGAAGTCGACCACCAGCTTTCTCAGCCCAGAGTGAGTGGGAGTGAAGTATATTTTCACCTTGGCATCCTCCCCAGGTCCCACTGAAGAGCCAAGACTGTAGGGTAAATATTTAGACAGTAAGATTGTGACACGTACACTAGAGAGAGACATTTTTCTTAGTCTTCTGATTGAATAAATGTTTAGACGATCAATTACCACTAATAACTCATGACAGTTTACACTATGTATGGAGATGATGGGAAGGGAGCTGTAGTTTATGAACTTAGCATACAGTAAATCACTAAAGATCATTCAAAAACTTGAACAATAAGGCCTCCTCACTAGTATATTATTGCATTCTTAAACTGGTCTCGGCCCCACTAAGCCTCTGCTTCTTTCTTTAGCAGTGGGCTCCTATCCTGACTAAACAGAGGCACATCCAGCCACACATCTGGAGGCTGCACCAAGAGCAGGGGAACAAGTCATAAAACAAAATAACACATATCTCAGAGTTTGGAAGTCGAATGGGAAAAACAAATGTCCACGACAGACAAATATGATTTGAAAAGGTCAAAAGTTGCCCATGTGTTGTCATAGCAAAAGAGGCAGAATGAGTCTGGTTGCTCTGCGTCCTGTCACTGAATTTAGATTTCTATCAGATGTCATTCTTGGAGAACCTTTTTTTTTTAAATAATTGACTGTGTGCATGTTTGTGTCTGCAGAGTGGAAGGTCAGTTACTGCTCATTTATGACAGGTCAGTGGTTAGTTTTAATGAGTAAAGAAAATGATTTCAATCTGTGTAAGAAGGAACTCATACAACCTCTCAGAGACGACTTGTCCCGAAGTCAGGTTGGACCCTTCGATGCTGAAGCAGCAGTTCTCCAGCGCCTCTGGAAGAGGGTTTTTGAGGGTGATCTCTGCAGCCAGCTTCCTTCCTTCCTTCGGTTCACCCAGGATCTGCAGAGCACAAGAACTTAGTGAGTGAAAGGCTCACTATATGTTGAAAACTATTTTACTTTACTTGGGTAAAGCGTGGTTTATACATACTTGGGAACATGTGTTGTTGATACAATACTCTAATCCTATATCTACGTCCTAGTGATTAACTGGCCTGCTTTTGTTTCACTTTTCTAATACATTTTCAGGGCTTGTTTTGACTTTGGACATTACTGTGTATATATATATATATATACTTTTTTGGCATTGTTATTTAAAAGTTGTCCATAATGTATAGCTCCAGTTGCAGGTCATATACTCACTCTGACTTTGATTTCAGGATTCTCCAGCACAATGTTCCTCACAGCCAGCATTGCATGACTGTTGGAGAAGTCTATCAACAGAACTGCCAGGCGGATCAAGTTGTCCTCAGTGAGTTGCTCACTGTACTTAGAGTAGTTCAGTCTTAGTGGGACGCGCCTCTCTAGAAGAAAACACACAATCTATTGAATACTCACAGTGCAAAGTCAAGTGTATAGAGCATTCACATGAAAAACACTACCTCACCTGCTCCTGGGGAGAGCTCAACATTGAGCAGATCTTTAAAACCACAATTATTTCCCATATGTCCGCTGTAGGACACAGCACAGGATCCAAACACCAGTCGGCACTTCTTGTCGCTTTGCGTGTTGTTTGTGACCACGGCGAACACGTCAAAGTCGCAGCCCTTTCTCATGTCTGACGTGACTTTGATGGCGATGTGTAGGCCTTCATTTTGCTGCTGTTGGAGCAGCTTGTTCTGGTGGTTAGCCTTCTTGAAAGCCTCCCGCTCTTCATCAGAACCTGGAAATATGGAAGTCATATTTATTTAATGTCAAATTGTCCCTTTTTATAAATAGGAGCTTAAATCTGACCTTCTTGAACACTTTATGTACATTAAGAATAACACAAATACTGATAGGGAATGTAAGAATGTAAACAGCAAGTGAACTCTTTGTGACCTGCTGATATGCGAAAACGGCCTGTATAAAGTCATGTTTACTGTGTCTTGTGATAATATAGAAATGATAAGGACCACCCCTATTGAATTTTCTCTTTATACCTTCAGGGTACTTGTAGAGATGAGTGACGTCCTCTCTGGCGTCATTGCCCACTCTCTTTGTGCTGATTTTCTGGCCCACAAATGTAGTGTATGTGGTGACTTTTGATGTGCTGCCGTCTTTTTTCTTCATGATGTTGACGACATCAGCATTGACCTCAGCAAAGACAAATGGGGCGTCGTACTTGAAAGTGAGCTCACCCTCCTTAATGGCTCTGACAGGGGTTGGGCCGCAGCAGAACACTCCTAAGTTAAAAAGGTCAACTTTGGTGAGGATTTGTCTTGATCAAAAGTAGGCTCATGTATTCATTGATTGAAGTGTGTTCAGTACCTTCACTTTTCTCCTGAGGTGTAGGGTCACTGGCCTGCCAGCCGTGAAAATCAGATTTAAATTCAGGCCGGGTCATCCAGTTCTCAACCCAGCAATGATAATTCCTACAGATACAAACACACCATCAGCCTCCTACACTTTCTGTTATCAGTATTTACTGCAAACTGGACGGTCAAGTCGTAGTTAATAATCAAATCAGGGTGATGTGCCTAACTACAGAAATGTAAGTTAATATTAGAGCTGCAACAATTATTGACAAATAAATAAGTGGATCAACCAAACAAAGTATTTGGCAACTATTTGAATCGTTTAATCGGAAGTGTAGAATATGCTATTTTAAGATATTTTGCTTTATCTGCTATATCCTATTTAAGTTTATCTTTCGGTTAACATTGACAAAACAAGACATTCAAAGACTTCAACATGGTCTTTGAGAAACTGGGATGGATGTTTAACACCATTTCCTGACAATCTACACATTAAATGATAATGCAAATAATCTTTAGTTACATCCCTACATATTAGATCATAATTTAAAGTATGTAAATATTACGCAACTCTGCCTCCTCCTGTACATACATTAGATATGTTCTTACCATATCATTTCTCTAGACTTAAGGAGGTCACCGTTTTCATTGATGTAGCGTTCGATCACCAGGTCGCCGTTGTTGTCGTGGGCTGACAGGTAGTTGGTGACGACTCGGCAGGGGATGCCAAGCGCTCTGGAAACTAATAGGGTATAAAAGCAACTTACATGAGTATTGGAATGCTAAAAGGAAGAGACAAATGTATATATTTACTGTGTTTACACATTTCTTGTGTCTGTTTGAGACAAATCGAATGTGTTTTTCAGTGATAGGCCACAAAGCTCCACTGCGTCCTATCTTACCTGTGCAGGCCACAGCTGCAAACACCCAGCACTGTCCGTAGCGAACAGGCTGACAGGCCTGTTTGTCCCAGTTGCGCAGAATCTCCACACTGCCCTTCCAGAACAGGGGGCTGACACCTCCTTCATAGCCATTTGTCCATTTTCCCAGCAACACCCCTTTGTCGTCATTACAATTCACCTAACAGGCAAAGGAATAATACACTTACATTCTGAAATCCAAGCGTTTTAAATGTTTCGTTTAAAATGACATCATCTGTGCAGATGAACAAAGGATAAGTGAAAGGAAATGAGTACCATGGCACTGAGCACCCTGGAAACATAGATGGGATTTCTCCTCCCTGAGCAGTCTTTGCCAGGATTTCGCAGACATTTAGGATTCATATCCAAAATCTGCAGACAGGTGTCCAGGATTCCACTTTCAAACTGTACAGAAAAAAACGCTGATTAGTTTCTTATTACTGACACAAGGTTAGAGATGGTGAAATCACCAAGGAGAGATTAGACAAGTCCGTTTAGAAACAACTAAAACCGGTGCAAACGCATAGCGTGGAACTCTGGCATGCTGTAAAGCCCAATAGCTGCACAAGTAATGCAATGCTTATGCCAGGCTTATCACACTTTGTGTCAGATATCAAAGAAAAGGCAGGAAAAGATAACACTCCCCCTC